GTAGATCACGCTCGTGGGTAGATCACGCACCTGGGTAGATCACGCACCTGGGTAGATCACGCTCGTGGGTAGATCACGCTCGTGGGTAGATCACGCTCGTGGGTAGATCACGCTCGTGGGTAGATCACGCACCTGGGTAGATCACGCACCTGGGTAGATCGCGCTCGTGGGTAGATTACGCTCGTGGGTAGATCACGCTCGTGGGTAGATCACGCTCGTGGGTAGATCACGCACCTGGGTAGATCACGCACCTGGGTAGATCGCGCTCGTGGGTAGATCACGCTCGTGGGTAGATAACGCTCGTGGGTAGATCGCGCACCTGGGTAGATCGCGCTCGTGGGTAGATCACGCACCTGGGTAGATCACGCTCGTGGGTAGGTAACGCACCTGGGTAGATCACGCTCGTGGGTAGATAACGCACGTGGGTAGATCACGTTCGTGGGTAGATAACGCACGTGGGTAGATCACGCTCGTGGGTAGATGACACGCTCGTGGGTGGATCACACACGTGGGTGAATCACGCTCGCGCATAGATCGCATGCATGCTGTCATGATGCATCACTGCATGCTACGCTGTCGACTCTACAAGATCCTGCTTGAGATTTTCAACATCTTCGCACTACAACAATTGGTGGAGGATGCGGGTAACTTCAACCATTCTTCGCACTACAAAACTTACATGGTTTTACAAGGCGTATTATCTTGTAAATTTGAAATTTTGTTATCGGACTCCTTTCTGTCTTCAGTATCTTTTCATACGTTTTACGATACAATACGATACATACGATACAACTTCCTTAACTCTAAGAAAATTTGTATGACTTTAATACAAGTTCATAACTCGATCCAAGACATTTTTCTAATTTCAAGAAACATCATTTCTAAGACAACCTCTGAACACAAAGATACATATTCTTAACTCCAAGACAACTTCCTTACTTAGATCGACAACTAACATTTATGCCACAATATGAACTCTAACATCAATTCGTCACTTTAAGACAATATCATAACCCTAAGACAACATCTTAATTCTACTGCAGATTCTTAAGTCACGGTCAACATGAAATGCCTAAGACAACTTTTTAACTCTAACAGGACTTCTTAATATATTCAAGACAACTGCTGAGATCCAGAACAACTTAATGAATCTGATCTCTCAAGTCTCAAGTTGAGTTCTCGATCGTAAGACAGCTTGTCAACTCTAATTTAAGACAACTTCAGAACTTTGTGACAACTCCACAACCCCCTACTAACTGTTAGACAGATAAACTCTAAGACACCGTGTTAGCTCATATATAGCTTTTTAACTCTGAGACAGCTTCGTAACTGTAGGGTAACTCTAGGAAAAATCTTACGACTATATTTTTAACGTGAAAAAACGTACTCTCAACACTAAGACAACATCTTAACTCTATTAGCAACTACTAATTTTAACAACTAATTAACTCTGATACAACTTCTTTACCTGTAAGACCTTTAATTATGAAAATATTCCTTAGCGATAAGACAACTTCTTAACTATATGACGACATTTTAACTATAAGAAAACACCTTCATTCTAAGACAATTTCTTAACTTTGATAGAAACTATTAATTTTAAGACAACTTCTTTACTCAAATACCACAATTTTCACACTAAGACAAGTAATGAACTCTAAGACAACGTCATAACTTTAAGACAACTTCTTAACTATAGACAGCAATATTAACTCTAAGACAACTAATTAACGATTATATGAAATTTTTTTAACTGTAAGATTTTTTAATTATTAGAATACATTTCAACTATGAGACAACTTCCTAAATATATGACAACTTTTTAACCGTAAGCAACTTCTCATGCATAACACAACTTCTTAAATCTAAAACAAATTTTAACTCTAATGCAACTTTAGGACGACATCTTGACTCTACATTTTTGATAATTTTAGAACCTTGTTAAAACTTCCCAACTCTAAAACAATATAATAGTTTCAGTACAACTATCGACCGTGAGGCAGGCAGCGATGTATGGCCCCGCTAGTATACACCGTATAACGAGTCAATCCCACATAGTACAAGGTCTACGGCGTTACACTCTCTACCAATCCCAACCTCTCTCCGTTACATTGGGGTGGGGAAGTGCAGCGATGGAAACGTAAGATACATCATCCTACGATCGTGTCATACTCTCCCTCCTGGTCTCATTTATCCGTCACAACCCGTAATAGCGCATATTCGGCATTTTCGGCATATATACCGTAAACTGTAACATTAATCGTGCTCGTCTGTAACCGAGCATCGGTTATAGCTATTATATTACGCCATATAATAACACCATACAACACACCTAATTAAGTTAAGAATAAACGATTACCGCGGTTCTTGGAATAATGTCGTCGTATTTTATGAGATTATTAGAGGAATTGTCAAACACCGCTACATATCACTTGTGAAAATAACAGTTACTCTCAGGTTAATTTATCGACTAGTCATAAAATAAAACTGTGTAAGAACAGTCATACCGTTTTAAGAGGCGGATTATCTTGTAAATTTTAAATTCTGTTATTGGCCGTCTGTCTTTGAAGAGATATTGTGCTACGTTGTATTTATGCTTTACCCCATGTTCGGTTGAAACGGTACAACACTGGATGGCTTGCAGCCAAACAGTTCATTTGTGGCTTGACGAAAGTCTTTGTACTTGAAGAAGTAAATGATTGGATTCAGCAATGAATTCATTATCAGTGCAATTAATCGAATAATGCGGAGTGTTTTGAAACTTGACGGAAAGATGTGGCTTAGCGCCATGTGCATTATATGCGATACAAGAAGAATAAACGATGTGCCGACCACGGTAAGTATGATCTTTGACTTCTTCATTATAGCATCGAAAGTAGAAAATTCCTCTCTTTCTGCAGCTGTTGCTGCCGCCATTCTTACCGTGTGGTCCCAGGCGATCCTGGCAATGATGGTGTAGCAGTAAGTCATGATGATAAATAATATAATATAGTGACTGACAAGAACGGCCACGAAACCGGACGAGAGCGCTATGTCGACGATGCACACTGAGAGCGGGCTCCAGCTATATGTCATATCGATGCCTGCTGCAATACCCCAAGCAAGTGCGTACAGAAAGCACAAACCCATGAGAATGCAGGTGCGCTTAACAGTCATTAACTGGTTGTAGCGTAACGGATGTACGATTGCCACGTACCTGTTGATCGTAGACAGTCCAATGCCCAGCATGTTCCCGTAAAGAAGAGTGACTACGTAGACCGTGAAAGACACGCAACGAAAGAGTGGTTTATGATCATCAAAGGTTGCGATTAGTGCGAGTCCAATCATGAAGTCATAACAGGCCAAATTAACGATCGTGATGTTTGCTGGTATCTGCAGTCGGCGAATCTTTGCTATGATGATAATCACGAGACCGTTTCCCACCAGTGTGACTGCACTGGCCGCGACAAAGAACAATAATACCAGCGCTTTGACTAACGTTGTCATTTGATAAAAATATGCTTTGCTACGAGCCATCTCGTCTGCGATATCCTCTTGACTACCGATCGGGTTGCTGTCGTTGTCTAATCGGGTTCCATTCATCGTTGTTGATATTGAATGCGTCTCCGTTTTCTTGTTTCTTTCTATATATTCTCGTTTTGAAGCGGTTGTTGGGCACGTTAGTAAAAGGATTGTTTGGGTCCACCTGAAATCTATCTGCTGTTTGAAGAAGTCGGCGTAGCGAGTTGATTATTGATTGTCAGATTGTCTTCTCTTGATGACGATAAAAGGGTCAGAATTTTACACCGTTTCTGCTATATATTCTCGTCTTAAATAGAAATTGTTCACAAAGATCTGAAACGTGTTGTCACGCTTATCCAAAGGCTAGAACCTTCTACTAGGACTCGCAGGTTGCAAACTATCAATTCATTTACGCACCCTTGTATTTATATAGTTCTGTGTGTGCGCATGAGCATCAACTCACAACGCCCCAATAAGATCGTTAAACCAAACAAGTGCTGTCACACCTAAAACTGAGAGAAAATCTTAAATCAAATAAAGAAACAATCGAGTTTAATATAATATACTAATATAGTAATATGGAAGTGTGTAGGGACAGAACTGTGCTATTGCCTATTCATTCGTTTGATTAATTTACGCATTACCACAGTACAAATTATTATTTCTGAGTACGATGGCCAACCATACACTTGCTGCTTTTTACTGCGTAGGCCCCTACGCGCGATTTGATTCGCCAGAATTGATATGATTGACCAACCTATTATCTAGTGGGTGGAGGGTAGCGCGTTGAAAATGTCAAGAATTCAAGTACCAAGAAACGAACGCGCGTCATATGCGCACTTAAAAAAAGCCATTCGATTCGTTCACACGTGTGGTTTTTATCATAGCGTTAAAACACACATTCGCATTTGCTGCACCTTAAAAACTAGTATATTTCAATTGCAATAAAGCACATGTACGTTCTCAGTGTAAAAGCGGTTGCATTATAAATCTACAACTTTTAAAAATTACGTATAAATGTATTTTTACCGTTGTAGTCCAGTTACTGCGTTCCCCACAGGCACACACTGCATGCCTGGCTGCCAGCTTCTTTTTTAAATGCTAGGTCTGGGCTCTAGGTCGTTTCCATCTGGCGCCATGTCACTTGGATGCTCAAACCCCTTCCTTATACATTAGCATAAGTGTGAACTTTGGCGGGGCATCACCGCATCATCGAAGGAGCGCGGTCGCGTTTCACGATGCGCACTACGCGCTTGGCTACGACTTTTTTAATCACTTTATGCACACGTACTATCCCGACAAACAATGCATTTACTTTAACCTTAATAATGGTATAGAGCCAGATGGGAGAAACTGACATAGGAACTGCTACCAATTTGAATGCATTGCGTTATTCAGTCGATGGTTACCGGCGCCACACGAAAACCGATCGAGTGGACGAAATACTAATAATGATATATGGGAACGTTAAACGTAGTACGGTCAGAAATGGCTATGAGGATATATTGGAATTGATTAACTACTATAGTACGTAAAACAGCGGGAGTTACTTTGTATAATTGCAGTGCCACCCGCACGTGAGACGTAATGTATGAGACAGCTGTGTCTGACACACTCGCAAGATCATTCATTCACGTGATGTCAACATTGATTCTAAACTTGATTCGAAATTGTGATCAATTTGTTCAAATTCAAGTTGCTGCGTGAAAATGCTATACGGATGATCAGCAATCGGCACGTTTTAAAATTACGTGTTTGTTAATTAAATAATTGCCAGGTGCGTAGCTACCATAACGCAGATACGCAGTTACCTACACATCATTTCACCAAACATTTTTTTATTGCAGAGAGAGCGAGAGAGGGAGAGAGAGAGAAGGCAAGAAGGAGAGAAAGCGAGAGAGAGAGAGAGAGAGAGAGAGAGAGAGAGAGAGCGCGCGCGCGAGAGAGAGAGAGAGAGAGAGTCAGTCAGTCAGACTAAATTGTTTATAAACAAATAACACCTACGCGGCGCACCACTGTATTAGTTACGTCATCGACTTAAATGTAGGCCTACATTCCGATTTCGCCGCGGCGTCCAAACTTTCTACATCTCTTCTCACAAGCTTACTACATCAGTGGCGGATTTAGGGGGGGGGGGTGTATTGGGTGGCTAGCTACTGGACTAACTAGCTGGCTGTTGGACTAACAATATTTTTACATAGTCGCGCGGCATAGGTACAAAACGTCACCTGATGCATAGGTTAAATTATATAATTGAGTGGCAAAACAGGTTACAACCCTTTTACAGCTTTTTCAAAATTCCAAAAAAGAGTTTTGCTGTCGCCCTCATCCCAGCGGTGGTCACCCCTACACATTAAATAATGAACGCGACTTAAAAAATGCCGTGATTTGATGTGATGTGCAATGAGTGATGTGTGTGTTTGAGCACACACACGCGCCCACACGCACCAGCACGCGCATACGCTCGCTCGCTCGCACACACGCACGCACACAGAGAGGGAGAGAGAGAAAGAGAGAGTTTAAGAATGTGCGTTAGTTCAACATGTCTTGATAATAAAACGAAAATTACATGATTAGTTACAGTGATCTTTAGTGATCACATCTTGTTGCTCATGAAGAGAATAGTTATACTAAAAAGATAATTGTTGTAGTCAGAATGAAGGCTGTACATTTACTCAAAAGTGCCTCAAATACCATCTCCTGCGATTTTGGGGGAGGACCCCCTGACCCCCCGCCTGTGTGCGTATACATCCATTTCACCCTAGGTACGCCCCTGATTGCTAATAAAGAACAAAAATTAGTGTAATAAAGCAACATTTTATATTTTAGTTCTTCTTTAAATGAGCGATTCGAGAAAGGTGCGCAAGCCACTTTTTTGGATAATTACTGGCATTATTAAGTTACACGACATCTGGCTGACTGATCTAGACTTGACCATACTTAAGCCTCGTCTACACGACGAACCTTAACACGAGTTAAGCTAATTCGAGTTAAGCGTTAACTCGAGTTAGCGATTATGTAGCGTATATACGACAACACCCGATAGCGATTATTACCGATTTATTATGCGTACGTGCGTGCGTGTGTATGTAAACGTGCGTGCGTGCGTGCGTACGCGTACACGTGCGTTCGTGCGTGGGTGCGTGCGTGCGTGTGCACGTACACGTGCGTGCATGCGTGAGTGCGTGCGTGTGCACGTACATGTGCGTGCATGCGTGCGTGCGTGCATGTACACGTACACGTGCGTGCGTGTGTGAGTGCGTGCATGTGCACGTTCACGTGCGTGCGTGCGTGCGTGCGCGCGTCCGTGTCTGTGCACGTACACGTGCGTGCGCGCGTCCGTGTGTGTGCACGTACACGTGCGTGCGTGCGTGCGTGCGTGCGAGTGCAGGTACACGTTCGTGCGAGCGTGCTTGTGCAGGTACACGTGCGTGCATGCGTGCGTGCGTCCGAGTGTGTGCACGTACACGTGCGTGCGTGCGTGCGTGCGTGCGTGTGCTCGTACACGTGCGTGCATGCGTGCGTTCGTGTCTTGCGCGCATGTGCATGTCATATACGTGCGTGTTGCGTGCGTCGTGCGTGCGTGTGTACGTGTGATCGCATGCGTGCGTGCGTGCTGTGCTAACTGCGTGATCCTGCGATCCGTGTCTGATGCCACTACACACCTGCGTGCGTAGCGTGCGTGCGTCTGTGTCGCGCGTGTGCATGTGCACTGACGTGCCTGCGTGCGGTGCGTGGCGTGTGAACTTAACACTGCGTGTCGTGCGTGCGTGTGTAGTTAACGAATGCGTGCATACGTTAGTGCCACGTACACTGCGTGCATGCGTGGGGCGTCCGTGTGTGTTCACGTACACTCGTGTTGCGTGCAGTGCATGAGTGTTTGCGCGCGGTGAATGTGCACGTAGACGTTCGTGCGTCGCTTGCGTGTCGTTAATTCCACCCGTACTACGTGGTGCATGTATGTGGGCGTGGCGTCCGGTTGTGCAGTACACGTGCGTCGTGCGTGCCGTAGCGTTGACGCGCAGCGTGGTCATGATGCCGTAGAGTACATGAGGCTTCGCCGTTAGCGATGCGTGCGTGATTCAGTACACTCGTGTATGCGTGCGTGCGTGCGTATGTGTGCCTAAACGTGCGTGGCATACGTGCGTGTGCACGTACACGTGCGTGCATGCGTGAGTGCGTGCGTGTGGACGTACATGTGCGTGCATGCGTGCGTGCGTGCATGTGCATGTACACGTGCGTGCGTGCGCGTGTGTGCAGGTACACGTTCGTGCGTGCGTGCGTGCTTGTGCAGATACACGTGTGTGCATGTGTGCGTGCGTGCGTGCGTGTGTGTGCAGGTACACGTGCGTGCGTACGTGCATGCATACGCACGTAGACGTGCGTGCGTGCGTGCGTGTGCACGTACACGTGCGTGCATGAGTGTGTGCGTGTGTGTGCAAGTAAACGTGCGTGCGTGCGTGCGTGTGTACGTACATCGTACTAGTGTTGCCGCCTATCGTGGAGTTATGTACTATTTGCTAACTCGAGTTAGCTTAACCTCAATCGACTGGCGAGGTTAAGCTAACTCGAGTTAACGCTAACTCGAGTTAACTTAACTCTAGTTAAGGCCCCGTGTAGATGCTTAACTCGAGTTAAATTTCGTCGTGTAGACGAGGCTTTAGTGAAGCAGTCGCAGTACGCTACGACCCAGAGTATTTAATTGCGACCAAGTTTGAAAATTAAAAGGTCATGACGATGTTAAGACCTTATTAAAGACCTTGTTTTTTCATTACCATTACCCATTTCATAATTATAAATACGTTTATTTCGGAAAGTTTTAGGTTAAAAGAAGTAAGAAAAACGAAAGTACGAATGAAAATAAATATTTTCAAAAGCATTTATTATTTAATAGCATAATGCACAGTAACGCGGTAACATGCCGCATACACAAAATACTCGACTTGAACTTATCAGAAACGAAATTGGTTGTGACATATGTAAGTCTGTTTGGTATTATTGTTTCCGCTGGTAAAACGCGTTTTATTATAAGAACATGTTGAAACCTACTAGTCTTTGGAAGTAGCTAGCTATAGTAGTTGGGCTAGCTAATAGTTGGAAGCTACTACGTCATAGTTCTACTTGAAATAGGAGATTCGTACAAGGCGAGCAATCGACGTCTTTCCGAAAATTACTGGCATTAATAAATTTCTCGATATCTGGCTGACTGATCTAGAAATCACATTTAAAGATGCAGTCGCAGTACGAGTAGCCACATAACTTGTTGCAAAAATAGCGTGCGCGGAACTTTTGTGAGCCGTCTATCGGAGTCCGACGTGAGCAGATGTAGCCACCATCACACGATTTTATCTCAGCGCACTTGCAGTTGCTGCATCCACATCTCCCGTAGCACCACGATTCCAGGTGACCATACTCAGCGGCTTCGACCACGAAGCAGTCGTCTTCATCGCAACCTTCTTCGCACCCGCCGGCACTTTTCTTTGCCTTGCGAGGAGAAAAATTACAGTTATATAGACTTCAGTGCGCGCGCTCTCTCTCTCTCTCTCTCTCTCTCTCTCTCTCTCTCTCTCTCTCTCTCTCGTTCTCTCTCTCTCGCTGTCGTTGAGTCTCTCTGTCTTATCATTTCTTTCTCTCCTCCTCTCTCTCTCTCTCTCTCTCATATTTCATTAAAACCTCACTCAATTATTTCATCTACATAAACATTTATCTATCCAGCCTCTATTCTCTATTTCAACATAACGCAACACCATCCATAGTAGCTTCCAGTAATTTAATCTTTTACAACGTATCATTCGTCATTGTTAAAACATTATATATATATATATATGTCATTTGATGATTTTACTTGTATGGAATGTTATCGGCATTTGTATTGAACTTGAATAGTGGAGAAAATATAAAAATAAAAACAAAAATAAGAAAAAAATATTCGGACCTAAACAAGCGGGGGCGGCGGTCTCTAAGGGGCGTCCGGGGCATACACCCACCCGGGAAATTTTGAAAATTAGCTGTCTGACGAACTGCCATTTCACGCGTTTGAAGGCAGTATGATTTGAAAACAGGCAGCCAAAAGCGAACTCAAAAAAGTACACATGTGCTAAACTTTTGACACTTCAAAATTGAATTTTTTCCGCCAAAAAACGTGGACCTCCGCAGCCTGTGGGGGGGCGCACCCGTGGTGGACGTAGGCCCTGCTGACCGCTACCACCCTTGCTCACCCATTATCACGTGGCTCAGATGGCCTGGGCCTTGTCACCCCCTTGCTTGGCACGTACACGGGTGATTGCAACCCCCCCCCCCGTTCGGACGTAGGGGCGGCGCAACCCCTCTTAGCCTCCCGACATCTGATAGTGTTCCCTCCTCGTGTCTTGTCTCTGCTTACCGAGAAACTTTCTACCTGTTGCTGGGAAACTGTAAATCCTGGTAATCATAAGATCGCTTGCTTGTGGACTAGTGAAGCGCGTTGGTTGTGTGACGTTCAAGGCCCCATGAACTACCTAGTCCGCGCGCCGTGTGTTATGTTTGAACTGTAACGCGTGTCTGACTCACTGAATGGTCCGAGGTTCGGTAGCTTGAAATTACGGCGCGAGATGACTGCGCATCCTGATTTTGAGTTTGAGAAATTTGTAGTTGAATCTTGTATGTCTGTGTTGTTGTTCTTGTTATGGCTCCTAGTCGTTGTACACTCATGATAGAGGCATAAACGCGGTAGTTGCAAAGTATCATATTCCCGTGTGCTACGTAGAAGCGCCGTTCGGTGTATCGCACGTGCGGAGAATCCGATTCTTTTTCTTGGCATAATCTGGCAGGATCGCCTTCGCCGTCCTTTTGACAATACTCATTCTCGCATGATGCCTCCGTTGGTACGTTGGGTAAGTTTGGCTGCGTAGTTGGCACACGGCCGCATCTTCGTTGGAATACGAGCTGCTGTGCGTCCTGCCGGTCGTTAAGTATAGGTAGTCTGGCCTGTGCGTCCGACACACTGCAGCCATTGCATATACTCGTCTATCCAGCTGGTAGTAGGCCGCCGCCGTTGAATTTGGCAAAGAAAATCGGGACAGTTGACTAGAAAGCATATAGTCTAAAAAATCCCCTTGTAACTGTTGTTTAAGGGCTAGTGCTGGCCGGACGGGCGGTCTACAGCTGATTACCATAGTATAGTGGTCGGTCAGACCCCGCCATGCGTCGTAAAAACTGGAATACCGCGGTTTTATGTGACTATCACGATTGTTTAAAATTTTTTTTATGTCCAGCTCATAATCTGCTATTGAATATTTTTACGCAATTGAAAATTTATAAAATATAACACTTTTTAGGTATTGTAGGTAAACTTACGGTGTTTGAGAGAGAGGAGGAAGAAGACGAAGCGCAGATCATGTGAGAGAGACAGACTCAACGACAGCGAAGAGAATAGAGAAGCGAGTGCAGAGAGAGCAGAGAGAGAGAGAGAGCCAGGAGAGAGAGAGAGATGAGGAGGAGAGAGAGGGAGAGGGAGAGAGAGAGAGAGGAAAGATGGAAGAGAGAAGAGAGAGAGCAGAGAGAGAGGAAGGAGAGAGAGAAGAGAGAGAGAGCCGGACGAAGAGGAGGGAGAGACAGAGAGAGAGAGACGAGATGAGAGAAGCAGAGTGAGAGATGAGAGAGAGAGGAGAGAGCGAGAGAGAGAGCGCACTGAAGTCTATAGAGTACTGGTCGATATTTCTCTTCGCAAGGCCCAAAGAAAAGTGCCGGCGGCGTGCGAGAACGCGTTGCGATGAAGACGACTGCTCGTGGTGTCGAGCCGATGAGATGGTCATCTGAATCGTGGCTGCTACGGAGAGATGTGGATGCAGCAACTTGCGAGCTGCGCTGAGATAAAATCGGCTCCTCCCTCTTATAGATATAGGTATCAAGGAGAGTTATACTATGGGAGGTAAAATAAGGGTCGTGTAACTATAAGCTAAGGTATATACTATATAACTTTTAAGCCAAGCGCCAAGGGCAAAGGATCTCTCTCC